ATACAGTAGAACCCCTCTAATCCGTCACCTTTGGGACTGGGGGTATGGTCGGAATGCAAAAAAGGTTGGATTATCAGAAAAAAAGTAAAATAAACAATCTTCCCTTTGTCCAGTCTTTGTAGCACTGCTAATTTTTCATTTAATGAAAGAGTAACGTGTTTACGTTTCACTCCTGGCATGTTGAAAACACACACAATGTAAAACATATACTGTAATGAACACAGAACGCTACATTTCTCGACTCCAACCACGGTCGGATTAACCGGAGTGACGGACTAGCCGAGGGCGGACTAGAGGGGTTCTACTGTACTTAAATCATCCTGATTTTAATTTTTTAAGTTTTTTAAAAAAGAAAACTATTTCATGAAAGAAATCAGTTTTCTGAACTTATATAATTCAACAAGAATTTGCATTTTACTTTACTTTACTTTACAATCTATGTAATATAAATTGAAGAAAATAAAAACATGTAGAACTTGAATTTAATCATTATTAAATTTATGATCTCTTGGAATGAAAGGCTACACTTACTTGTCTTGAGATTCCACGTAAATATTTAAATGTGGTTCAAAACATCGAGAAATGTATCCTTGAAAAGGATTCAATTTTATCTTCATAACATTGGATTCCTTACGGAAGAAAAATAAAGAATACAGCCAAAAATATGTAAATAATATAAAATAATAAAAATATGTTAATAATATAAGCAAAAATGTTTTAATAATAATAATAATAATAAAATTTCTAATATTCCAAATACCTTAAAATAAAATAATTAATACTTTTACTCTACTATTATAAAGATATAAACACAGATTAATCTGATTTAAACATTTAATGATGTTTATTTTATCTATTAAGTTTCTCCAAGCTATCAAAATGTAATTTTTAAAAATTGCACTCTCTTAATTTTTTCTAAATTTTAAAAATTAATAAAGAGAATATAATTAAAAATTTTAATTTCATAATATCCTATTAATTACTCCAAATTTACTAAATTAAAATTTAAAATAAAACAGAGTAAGAGACTAGATTTAAAATTATTTGCTGAGAAATGTATTTATTGTATTCGATGTTGAAAACATGACTAAAATTAATTAAAAACAAAATTTAAAAATATTATCATCTTAAATTCAGTGTTTGTTTGAATGGAAAAAGTGAAAAACATTTTCTTACTGTCTCAACTAATTCTTTTTTCTCAGTCATTTCTTTTTCCATGTCTTCTGCAAATGGGTTAGTACTTTCAACTTCTTCAAAGGGATTTGTATTGGGAGTAGCTACAATCTAACAATTATTCAATTCATGAAAAGTATAAGATGATAATTAAATATGATACTTAATTATCATTTTAACCATCAATAATACTTTAGTAACTTCGTGAAGGATCAACTGAACTACCTGAAGGACCGTAATGTTAATAAACAATCATCATTATTACAAGGTACAGAATTTAAACATAACGAGTAATACATTGTCTTACTAGAATTTTTAATAGAATTACAATTTCATTGTTATGCATTAGACTATAAAGTACTGAACTATATTACTGAATTAAAAATAGATTCCACATAACAGGAACATCAAAAATTATACAACATTAATCAGTTTGCATGATCAATAATCAAAAGTCAAAATTAACCAGTAAGCTTTTACATACTTAAAATAATACTTACCGTAATTGTCAATCATGGATCATGCAAAAACTACAATAAACTGTTATCATTTAACAATAATTTCTCTAGACACCAGTGAGCTATCCTTCTTCCAATAAATTCAGCATTATAAATCAAAATTATATCATCATGGTGACCATGATAATATAATCTCCATCATGCATCTCTTCTAGACTCTTAATGTATTGGGTTTTTCGGAAAGTAAGTTCATTTTTTTTTCAATGGAAAAAAATATTGTGTTTTTCTGTGGGAAAAAAAACCAATATTTTTATAATAAATAAATATTTTATTGAATTATATATCAACCATTTTGGTCAAATATCTGTTGTCATTGTTTCTGGTAGTAGCATGATTTCACATTCATAAAAGTTTTGATCGTTGCTTACAAAAAACTGATCCAAGTGATTTTTGACATTGTCATTTCAAGTAAATGTCTTACAGTTAAAAAAAATTTGTATAGACCGGAACAAGTAATAATCTGAGTGTGCTCGATCTGGCGAATATGGTTGGTGTGATAGCACGTCCCATCTAAGTTATAACAGTTTCTGACGAGTTACCAAACTTGTGTGAAATTTGACATTATCGTGGTAAAACACTACACCTGTTTTGTTGATCAATTCTGGCCGCCTTTTCTGTTTGATGATATTACTCAATTTGTTTACTCGATGGCAGTACACTTTCGAATCAATTGTTAAATTGTCTGGTAAAAGCTCCAAAAAAAAATTTCCTTAAAATCCCACCAAAGAGAGCATCTCTCTTTAAGAACATGTGGAACCCATATATCAAGCTTTGAAACGAAACCAATTTGTTTCAAGTAATCATAAACAGTTCAATTTGACAAATTTAATCTCTTAGTGATTTCACGTGTTGTTATTCGGCAGTTTGCTTCAATCAGTACCTTTATTTTGTTTTCATTGGCTTCAACTGGCCATCCAGAACGTGGTGCATCTTCAATATTGAAATTGCCAGAACAAAATTTTGTAAACCAGTTTTGGCACTGTCTTTCTCTCAACAATCATCTCCATACATGTACCTCAATTTTTTTTCGCTTGAACAGCATTTTGATTTTTTGGTAATAAAAAAGTAGAATATGCTGAAAATGGTGCTTTTGATCTTCCATATTCGATGGGACACAAAAAATAAACAATTGCACAGAATCAAACAAAATTTTTTACAAATAAGCCTTAAAATGCTAGCTGTCAAAATATATAATGATAATATGGTTTAAAATGAAAATGGCGGGAAAAATACGACTAATCTGTCTCTGTCTAGTGGTAAAAAAACAAACTTACTTTCCGAACAACCTAATAGCTCCAATATATATTACAATTTCTTTATATAAACTTGATACAAATTACTTACAAAAATATTATATTTTTTGTAAGTTTTTCTGACTATTATGTAGTGTAATATACACAGAAATTGTAAGCATAACTTCCAACTTCAAACAGACAAGTGAAAACTTAGGGTACTTTCATGAAGTTGAAGGAGTTAAATGATTGTTTAATTAACTAGTCAGTCATATAGTACCAGTAACAGTGATCAATAAGTAATATATATATAGTTAAAATTCCATAAATAGATGATGTGGCTCTCAATAGGCATTCCAATAGAGGATGCAATTTCAGTATTTCTGACATCACAAGGTTTGACCACCCTTGTTTTATTACATTGCTGGATACAGTTTTAACTATTAAATATTACATGAAAATGATCAGCTAAAAATATATCATATCATACAGTCATAACAAAAATCTCATATTGGCCATAAAAGCAGAGCACTGTAAAATGAATTGCTGTAAAGTATAGATCTACTGTATAAACAAAATAATAATAAATGCATCATATCTTAATGCTTTCTAATATATAATTATTTGAAACTACAGATCAACTTCTTATATTATATTTTAACCGATCAATTATATCATATACTGTATTATATGGTAATTTTTATAAGAAACTTAACTGCATAAATTATATATAACAATTACATGTATCTATTTGTAATTATTCAATGTCAAAATAAATAAATAAATGAATTGAAAAAACTTTTCTCATACCTATTTCACACCATATTTAAAATTTTTAAATTTCTATAATAATAAACATGCAAAAGTTGCAAAATAACTGATAAAATTGAACAAACAAACATGAATACAACAACGTCTTGATTTACAACATCAATCTACAAGTTATTCATACAACCAAATTTTGGTACTTCATATATCTTTGAGTAACAAAATGCTAACACTATTAGTTTTAAGCACAGAGAATGAATTTACAAGAATAATAACAATAAATTATACACAACATGATGACGAACAAATATAAAAATTCATTTAATAGCAGTTAAGGATATTTCCTACTCACAATAAAATTATTTATAATAGAATTCAATTTTGATGAGTTTTGAATACTGATGAAATATCAAGATGTGCAGAAAGATATCTTACTATAAAGAAATGTAACTGAATTAACATTAGCCATTACTGTTTGTTGGTTAGTTCAGTGACAAAGACATGGATCATGTTATTTAACATAAAAATCTCTTTTATTACATTTTATAACAAAGATTTAAACTTTAAAACACAAATTAAAAAAACAAATATATTAATATAACAACATAATTAATGATGGTTAAAATGATGTCATTTTATATATTAAAAAGTGAGTTATTTAGTCAAAATTATGCACACAAAATATATATATATTAATATTAATAATGACATTTGTATACATTACTATAATAATTTTAAAACTATTAATATTACAAGTATTAAATTGTAACAAAATTATTATTGTAATTTGATATAATTAAATTAGTAGTAAATGATTATTATATACATGTATATCTTGTTACTGAATAAATATTAAATTATTATTAATATATCATCTTTTAAAACATCTTTAATTATTATTTGTATTATTAATATATATAAACATTACTTTTTTTTGTATTGTTGTCATATTTTTGAAAATATTTTTTATTTGTAAATTCATACAAAATTGAAATTCTATCTTTACACAAATTTTGACATATATATATATATATATTTTGACATGTTAAGTCTAGA